AATAATAAGGAAAGTCAGAACAAACTTTTTAAATGATAACACAACGATTCATTTAGCTAGAAGAAACTTTCAGAACTAATTATTGTCAGTATTCGAAGCAGAGATGAGCGAGCCGCGGTGTAAAACCGCCCCGTCCCGCCCCGCCCCGCCCCACCGGCGGGGCGGTGCTAAAACTTGACGGGGCGGGGCGGTGACGGTGCATGACGAAATTTCGCGGTTTCCCCGCCTTTGTATAACCTTGATTTTTTAAATATACTCAGACCTTTAGAGACATCTTTTTAAAATTTTAAAATCTTTTCACAAAACTAATCAGTAAAAAAAGACTCGTTAGCGCAGCTCCAGAGGAGCTAAAATGTGGAACTCACATATATTTTTTTAATTTTTTGTCCTGATGCCTTATTTTTAAATTGTAAAATACCTTTTTTCCGAATACGTATGAAATCATTGATATATTATATAAAAACTAGAGCCTTTTATCCGCTGCTGAGGTCTGTAATGGTGGGGGTCAGGGTTACCAGATCGAAAATTAAAAAATCAGAAAAATTTTTCTAAAAATTGGGAAAGTCGGAATTTTTGTTCTCGAAATCGGAAGAAAATCAGAAAGTATTTTTCCATACTTAAATAACTAGTCTATATATTTTCGATAGCTTCAATATCCTTTATCTTGCTTCTGTTCATCTTTTCGAAGCAATATCAGAAATGATATTTCATAAAGAATTAAAGAAAATATCGATTACACAATTTACTCATGATTGAGAAATCTACATAAGTAATTTGAACAGGATCACATTATTTTTATCAAAAATGCTATAACCAACTTGACGAAACAATAGAATCAGTATTGTAAATTCATACACACACATGCATTTCACAAAACTTATGCAAAACAAAACTAAGACTTATTCTGTATAATGTTCGTTTTTGTTCATACTTTTTTATTAGCTCGAATACTCTTCAAAATATCAGGTTGAGGTAACAGATATTTATAAAAATGTCCACAAGTATAAACAGAACTCATTTCGATTTTCAATTCTGCAACAGCTAAATTAGTACCCATACGATTATGATTAGTTTTATGATATCTGTGATGAAACAAAAAAGCTCAGAAACGAAAATATTCTTAATTAACACTATAGTAAACGAACAGAGAAAGTTAGTTCATCGTGATAGAAAGCTGGGTCTTAATTGTCTGTAAAACATCATAGTTTTATTGGAGGATATGCTTTCAAATCACTGCAGTGTGGTTTGTTGAGTTCATGACGCTTCACTACCCGATAACTATGGTGAAATAGATCGCTATATATGTGTGGTGTCGTGTCATGGTTAAACTATTCTAGAATGTCCTAAGAACTTGAATTCCCAAATAAGACTTCGAAAACCGGAGGAAAATTAGGAAATCTGAAGGCGATCGGAAAAATATGTTAAAATCGGAAAAATCGGAACGTCGGAAAGTCGTTGGAGAAACTTTTAAAAAATCGCAATTTTTCCTGCCGTATCGGAAGATCTGGCAACCCTGAGTGGAGTGTCTGTAATGGAGTGGGGGAAGGGAGAGAGCCGCCAAACCTCGAACTTAAAACTTACAATCACTATTTTATTCGAAAATATACGTGAGTTCCACAAAATGAGTGACTGTATTATAATTGCCTTTCATTTTCATATATTTGTTTTTTTCTATTTCGGAACGATGTTTATGCATTTAAAATATGCCTCTTCATCTCATGAAATGAAATAGCCATTATGAAAATTTAATGAAAAATTTGTCAATAAATAGTTTTTTAAAACATATTTTTGACGGGGCGGGGCGGGGCGGGGCGGTGGCGGTTTCAATGCTAAACAGGCGGGGCGGTGGCGGTGCGGAACTTTATCGGCGGTGCGGGACGGGGCGGTGACGGTGCGACTTTTTTGTTGACTCGCTCATCTCTGATTCGAAGTCATATTCATTAATTTGAACACATAATTGAGTCTCTAAATACCAATTATCACTACTATGGAAACACTAATAATCGATATTCGAAATTCTTTAGATATTCTAATCATTGATTTTTAAAGAAACTAGTGTGGAAGAGCAGCAAGAGTGTGAATCGTTAGTGTTATTCGTAATTATATTTCAAAGCAGTCTGTATTTTAGTGATTGATAGGACAAAGATAACTTTGGATAGAACTTTATCAGAGACTGAAAAAGACTAACATGTTTGTAATAACCGATGTACAACTATTGTACTTTTTTTATCGTATGATTGATCATGATTCATTCTGTCTCCCCTTCAGACAAAAAACTCATAAGATTTAAACAACATATTTTAATCATATTATATTACCAGATAATTAGTAATATATGATTGGTTAGTTGGTTAGTATAGTAGACAAAAAATAAATATAATTTTTTTCTGCTTTCTTTTTTTGTAAAGCAGATAAAAATAATATTTTCTATTTATATCTCTATTTAGAGTGATCAGCTGAATGCTGATTTTTTGAAATATGTTATAGTATTTCGACTATAATATTTAAATTTTGGCTATAGAATATAAAAATAACAGGTAACTTATTGTGTGCATTTAATCTCTCCTTGTATTATTCAAGTTTATGACAACAGTGTAAGTTACGTGAAAGTGATGTTTCATTCTTCGAATCTAGAGTAAGATGAAAGTTCAAATTAATACAATGAGTTTCTTCCTATATATATATTTGATTGCGAAAATTTGGATACTATAGTCAATATTCTAATTGTTATCTTAATAAACTCTGATTTTATCTGAATACTCGAAGAGAATAAAAACAAAGAATATTAGTGTTCGTCTATTTGGAAAAAATAAAAAAGACAAAATACGCTTGCATTTATAGATCCGTACTGTACTAACCTAGCTATACAAATATATATTACAAATTTATATGGTAATAGAGTATGATTAAAATAAATAATTTGAATTTTAAAAGTTTTTATCGCTCGGTCAATTTAGATTAGAAGTTATAAAGTCTAATAGAATTCTGGAGAATATTTGTGCATTCTTGATTTCTCTTTTCTAATAAAACATCTATCGTTTTGGCATTGAATGTGTCGATTCTCGTAAAAAGTTGAAATAATTAAATATTGAACTGATTATAATGGAATAATTATTCGGTCCAAACTAATTTATTCTTTTCGCATTACTGTTATGTTAGTTGAGTTAAAATGTTTAGTACAGATATTAAAATATATTTTACAAAGATCTTTAAGAGAAACAGCTAATCTATCTCTAGCTCTCGTTTGATAGCAAGCACTATTTTAAAGAATTGTAGCATCCAAAGTTTTATACAGAAAACGAACAGATTATGTTTCCTTAATAAATTTCAGTACCATAGAATGAGTCATTTATACTCAGCTCGAAAAACAAAAGTAATAAATAAAATCGACAAGGAAGATGGTTTCACAGTTTTCGTTGTTTTATGATAATGGCTTGCTGTAAACAAGAAAAACGACTTCCTGCATTATTAATGACATTTTCTTTTCCACTAAAGAGTCATTTTTATTGCTTCCTTCCTTGCCATTTGACATTCATTTCTCATTGCATTTGTATTGATATGACACAAGCTAAAAAGTAAAAGCAACACATGTTTTTCGTTTTACATCGTCTTCTTGATACAATGACTGCTGAAAGTGTTCATATAAGTGAAACCATACATGTTGTTTTTCTTGAATTCTTATTTTCATATATAATTTGCATTATGATCATCCATAATGGTGTTGGTGATAGTTTCGATGAAATATATATTAATCATGATGCTCACGTCAATCATAAGTGATGTTTCGAGTGTATTAGTTTATCAGCGAACAAAAGATAACTGATGGTTTATTGGTTCAAATTTAATGCTTGATAAGTTAATTAAAAATATCAATATATATGCTTTTGTTTACATAGCAAAATTAATGTTCTTTTTGTCCAGGGGAATCTCATATTGTATATTAGCATCATGGAATACTATTCAATCCGGCAAATTAGCATTAATCATCGATGAAACTACAATTTTCGATTGGTTCACTCATTGTTAAAATCAAAAAATTAGGAATTATTCTCTAATTTAGCATTGTATTACTATATTTTACTTTATTTTACAATATTCATATTTATCGGTATTAGTTCGGATAGCACTAAAACATGGTTCTTTTCTTTGAAGTTTCCAACAAGCAAGATTAGTATGACTATGAAAAAAACTTAATGGATACAGAAAGAATATTGAAGAAAATGAAATATAATCAAAAGCACAAAAGATTAATTGAATGATAATAAATACTGGTATTTTTAAAGTAGGGTATGGGTGTGTGGGTGTGTAGGTGTAGTTCTTCACATTACTTCTCCCACATCCACCCTTTTATTATAATATCTGGAATTTCTTAAGATTATTGATTATGAAAGAAACTGTGGTTATTTAAAAGTAAAACTATCTCATGATTATGATAGAAATGTTTTTGATATTGAATTATGTGAAGCAACCATACGCAGTATTGAACGTCACACAGGAGTCTTATCAAAATATCAAAAAGAATTATGTTTTAATGTAAAATATAAAGTAACATCAACTATTGTTGATATTAAATGGAAGGCTACATATTCAAATAATACACAAGATAAACAAAGTAATCGATTTTATTTCTATACACTTATTCTCTTAATCAGCGGTTACTTTTTAATTGTCAAATAAATGGTGAGACTAATTTAATAGTGCATAGAAATAGAGATATAGTCTCACATAGCCATTCTTTGACTCGCATATGAAACAGTATACTGTAATTAAAGTTGTATCGATTGCGAATATGGCCGAGTATCCTCTACGTTTGAAGTCCATTCTGTAAGCCTAATGATATCAGATTGTTACAACAAACTCTTCGCTGTCATTAAGTATCAATTTATTTTGGACGACAGTAGAAAACTATAGCAATTAAACGAAACACTCGTTGACAATCTCTATGAACTTGCTCAAAAACGATAATCCTTCTGTCAGATTCGGAAAATGAATTTTTATTATCAATTAGGTTCTGATTGGGATAAAACTTTTTGAAACATTTCGTTTAATTCATTGACCAAATTATCTCTAGTCATAATTTTCAAAATTAAATCAGGTTCCCATTTCGTCAAAATATTTTTCAGATAAATGATATACAGTGAGTTCATCATATCAATACTAGTAACACGAAATGTCGTTCCAGGTAAAAGAAGAACTTCAAGTTCTTCCTCATATAGTGATAAACATTGTGTATTTTCCGATGTTTTATACAAACGAATGGCTGTCGGGCATGTAGTTCGAAAGTTCATTGCCATTAAAACGCGTATTCGATTGAAATTACCCGTCTGTCCACCTTCTACATCTGCAAATGCAAGTGCTACTTTCTCGACCATTGATGTCGAACAGAAACTCTGTATTGCTATGCTGCGTTCATGATTCTATTCAGCCCATTGATAAGCACGAAAATCTTTTTGAAGCATGGCTAAGCCATGATAAGAACGTCCAGTAAAAGCGCGAGATTGTAGTGTGTGCAGTTTCCATATAATGGGCATATACAAAGGGGCGGTTTCATCTCCATATCCAAGACTTTTGTAGAAAGGACATTCAAGTGTATAAAGTGTCAATAAATGTTCTACACATTTTGTAGTGCGATATGTTTCGACGATAAGAGATGCCATGTCATAATAAGGATGGTTCTTGGTAACCTTTGTATCAATAAATGATTATAGTAATTGAGAGAATATAGAGCACATGTCAGTCCGTACTAACAAACGAGAAATAAATTTGATGAATCTTCGATTTACATTCGATGTCATTCCAATTGCCATTATATGCTTGAGAAATATTTCCAAACGCATATCACCATCACTTTTTGATCCAACAACCCAATCGTCTGGAATTGTCTCCGTGTCTTCATCAGGATGAGTGTCATCAATGTCTTCAGAAGTTTCGTCAAGAGGCATGATCAATGATTGTCTCGTTTCGTTTGTAGTACAAAATCGCTGATTGTCTGCTGGTCGATGAAATAATAGACGAATCTGGTGATTCGGTGCCTCTTCATACGCGGTCATGCCATATCGATTGCGCATATGCCGTCTGATATTTTTTTCATGAAGTAAAGAACGAATCACATCTACTTGTCCAAAGAAGCTAGCTGCATGGAGTGCGGTACTTCCGTTCGGTTCGAGACGATTAATATCGATAAATGGAGTGGAATGAACGATTTTCTTTACCGTTTCTAAATCTCCCGCACGACAAGCCCAATACAACTCACTAGCTTCTCCTTGTTTCGGATCACGAAGAATCAATGCTTCTCTTTTTTCCTCACTACTGTTACTGTTACCCATACTTCAGAAAGAGAAAATGAGAAAAAGCAATATCAATGCAAATAAAGACTTATCTTATCACACTTTATTTGAATAGAAAATGCTGCTTCCTCAAAAATGACGAAAATAACTGTCAGCAATATGAAATAAAACTTATTACACAAGCTCATCAAAACTCGATTGAATTTTTGATAATATGATAATGTGATTCAACTATCAGTGGATACAATTGATAGTTCGATGAGTCGGGTGAGGGTGAGTGTGTCAATGCCAAGATCCAGGTTTGAGTGTGGGTATGAGTGAATGTCGGTGAAGAGATGGTCACACCCACACCCTTACTAGGTTGCTTATAGACAAGCAGTTATCAACCGATCGGGCGATTGAGAGTTGGTCATAAGTATCGATTTCATATCTGTCGAAATTCTTTCTAATCAGTATACCGACCATCTATTGGCTCTGCTTATGACGTTTAAAATACTTTTTCTAGTCTTCGAACTCCTCCTAATATGTTATTCATCAAAATTAAGTAATCAAAACCAAGTATACTGAATAAGTTCCAGTGATGGTATTTTTCAATTTCGTCAAGCGTTGTGTATGATAGAGGGGCTTGTTGTTTGTTGTATGATTCCTTTGTTATTTTTGCATCACGGCAATACTACACTTCATTTCTGTCTGTTTTTTGCCTCCTTGTTTTTCCGTTATTCTCTTTGAATTGTTTTCAGCTAAACACTATTGGGAAAGGACTGCACATAGCAACAGTAAAATATTCAAAGTAAAGAACACAAAACGGTTGATTACAAACAAGAAAACTATTCATATTTGTACAAAGAAATTCAGTTCGTATGAACCACAAACACATTTTTATTGTCGGATGATATGTATGAGTTCATATCGTTCAAAAATATACAATGCTTAGCAGACATAAACTTTACTGGATACCTATGAGAACATTTGATTATAAAGCACTAGCAGAACTCGGTTTTCCTATCATGGGCTTTGCATTTGATTTCACTTTTAAGGGTGTGGGTGGGGTTTTGAGCGCGGGTATTCATCTATAGTTACACACCCACCCACACCCCGCACCCCACCCTTCTCTGCAATGTATGGATAAGAAGTAGTGAATTGTTGAATCAATAATTGCTGCGTTTGTTTCTAGATTTTATGTTTTCTTCCAGTATTATTTCATGTGTAACTTCATATAATTTGATCCTATGAAATGGGAAACTGCCATTATGAGGGCTTTCAAACAATTTTTTAAAAACGCTACAGATTAGAAGTAAACAAGAAGAGGATGGAGGCATAGGTGTCAGAGTGTAAACGGCTGTGGAATGTTTAATACACAATAGAATGAAAAAGTATAAGTGATAGAGTTCTCGTTCTTGCAGCCGAGAACAAAGTACCGTAAACTAACAAGCGATACTGATAATAATGATAATTTAGGGAC